TTTTTGATCAAATAACAAAAATATCGTCTATATTATGATATATCTGAGGTTAGGTGTCACCATATCAATGTCAAATCTAACAAAATATTTGTTATTGTCGAATTTGGAGAATATTTATTTGTAGATCAATCGGGAAGTACTTAACAAGTATTATCATTTTTTTTTCTATWATTTTCTGTCTGCTGAGTGCTGAACATTGTAAATTGTAATTCACGTTATTGTCTTGTCAGCGTTTATAAATTATTGATATATCGGTTTTATAGTTCTAAGAATATTATGTATCGATATTTGCATTATCGATATATTGATAACTTAAACAAATTGCGCATGTCAGCCCGATAAAACTGCGCATGAAATGTTCCCCAGACTTGGAATAAACGCTAAAATGCATGGAAGAATGAAATCCCGGTGTATTTTGAATTGTACAAAACTTATACATTAACTATACATTTTTAAAAAATTAATTTTTGTTTTTCATAATTGGCCACTCTAATAAATCTATGTAAATATGGGTATATATCTGGGTAATGGTTTATTTATAACTTTAATGATATTAAATTTGTTTATACTTTGTTTTGTACTTAATATTATTCTGTACATTKTATGTTGTCTTTTGTACGATGAACGATAAAAACTTGAATTTTTATGATATATAGTTTATTTTTGTCTTTTGAAACCAAATCTTATTGAAAATGCCAAACTGTATGGTACCAAGTTGTCCAAATAACTGATGCAGAAGACCTAGTAAGGACATAAGTTATTACAGGTTACCCAAATCTCCTAAAGTAAGGAAAAAGTGGTTAGATGCTTGTGGCAAGGAAGATGGTCAAATAAAAGGTGGTAGGTATAATATTAACAATGAACAATGAAATTAATGAAATAAATAAAACTATATTATGAAATTTTGAATAGGTAATAATTGATAATATCATTGTGTCTTACTTTCCACTCCATGTATCTGATATCGTTTATGCCATGACTGGGGAACATGCGCAATGATAGCGAAAATRAAATTTTAGCTGACATGCCTGTTTATTTAGTCATGGTTAAATGGTTAAATCCATGATAAATTAAATAGGTCTATGATGTCAGCAATATGCTAGTTTGTAACTATTTCCGCGCAAATATGGCTGCCGACGTTCGCCTCTTCTCATTGGACTAAATACTACTTGTGATAACGTAATAGCGCGATATTTTCGTACTGATACAATAATAATTGTTAATTGGCGAACGACGTACGCCATTTTGTGCGTATCACCAAGTTGCTGACATACCTTTTTATTTTGTCATGGTTAAAACCTTAGATAATATACACTGTATATTACACATATGTATATTATCTAAGGTTAAATCTAACCTATACAGTACCCACGATGTAGAGAAGGAAGWTCTTCTCTACATCGTGTTAGTACCACAGAATAGACACAGACTTCTATAATAGTATAGATAGTATATTAGTATAGATGTCTGTGAGAATAGATTAAATAGATTTAATCTATTCTGTGATAGTACCTATAAAAAAAAAATAATAATAATAATAATAACCATTTACCATGCTTATATTTATTGCTCATGTCAAAAACAAAATATTGGCGTGGACTGTTGAGCAGTTATTCTTTCTTGATAATGTGCTGGAAGAAACGATGAAACTGGAGYAGATCATAAGGCGCGTACACACGGTCGAACTCACATAATGTTCGCATGCGACTCATTRTGCCAGYGTGTAGACGTGTGCGTGAGCATTCGGATCCATTCGTCAATGTTCGCCGAATAGGTCGCATGACGAGCCGATCACTATTGGTAGTTTTGACTTGCTCAAAGAAACACCGCGCGCATTCGGGTTATCGTGTGCAGTGGCGTGGTGAACTAAAAATATTCCAGAGGCAACCCCCCATATAGATTATCCACCCCACATGTATTTGCATGTCAATAAGTACAATCCTTGATACCCACCCCCCAATATTTGAAAAATCCCAGAGGCAATTGCCTCTGAAATTACTCTTTGCCACGCCACTGATCGTGTGGACGGTTATTTTGATTTTGTGTTGTGTGTCGTATGGCTGTCAGAAAAAAAAAAAATTTATTTTATACAAATAAAGCTATAGAACTATTTTAGTTAGTTAAGTAGTAAGTACTCTTTGAAAAAAAATGGACTGGGACAGGAAATTATGTTTTGAATTAATCGAAGAATATCGACTTAATGAAGTGCTATGGGACCCACAAAATCCATCGTATATTTCTAAAAATGCGAAACACGATGCGTGGTGTTCAATTTCGAAAAAACTAAATACAGATGTCGAAGAGGTAAAAAAGAAAATGCTTAGTTTACAAGGATAATTTCGCCGAGAAAAGGCAAAAATAAAAAATAGCATTGGGACTGGAAAAGGTAAGAATTTAAATTTGTATACCTATTAATTTCAATTCTTATTAATATATTATATTGTGTTGTAAAAGATACTTTTCTAAAGTCCATATTAATAAAAATTATTATTTTATTCGCTTTAATTATCATCATTCATCACCAATTCAGTAAAAAAAAAAATGTGAATTKTGAATAATTATTTAAGGTACCAACGAAATTTACCAATYAAAATGGTTCACATATGAAGCAATGGTGGCATTAGAAGAATGATGAACCAAGGAGCACAATTAGTGGCGAAAATGTAAGTTTTTCAATATTTACTACCACGGTATCATGGTTGAGAYATTTCAACCATGCACGGTATATTATAGAGGTATTATTATTTATTTCTATGTTTGATAGAAAAAGAAAATAATTTTAATATCTATTGAACTATATCTACTAAGACTTGCAATCAATTATTATTAACGTCTGACGCCAAATACCAAATGTCAATAAATTATTATCAGATTTAGATTAAATATAAATAAAAACRTTTAAAAATTAAATACAAAATTTACCACTTTAAAAATAACTCTACGAAACTATTAACACC